TAACGATGGTGTTTTCTGCCCCAGGGTGCAGTTATCTATAGATGTCAAACAGGTCATGTTGATTGATAGTGTTTTTCTACTCTTCTAAATTCTTACTGTTTTTCTATTTGTTTAATCCATAACTGAGAGAGGAATGTTGAAATCTTCAACTCCATGGATTTCCATGGAAATCTCCAAGGATTTGTTTACTTCTTTCAGTTATATCAATTTTTGTGACTCATCTACTTCAAGCTCTGTTATTAGTCACATACTCAATTTAGGATTATGTCTTCTTAATGAATTAGGTCACATGAAAGCTTCCTCTTTAATTCTAAAATTCTAAAGTTCTACTTTGATGTTACTATAACTACTTATAAAAATAAAAATTTTAAATTAAACTATGAGTCATGAGTGCATGAATCATAAGTATAGATCATGACAAATGATCACAAAGTGAACCACACATCTGATGAACACCCACATCAATATAAAACGTTGCTAGCATTTTCCTGATTAATGAGGCTGAATATGTTTGTAATTTATATAGTTTCCTTTTTTCAATTTTTAATTTTGAGACAACCATAGATTTACATACAGCTGTAAGAAATAATACAAAGAGCTCATGTAAGCTTTTCACCCAGTTTTCCTTAATAGTGAAATTTTGCATAACTATAGCACAATATACTATGGAGTTGACATTGATAATTTACTTGTTTTATTCAAATTTTACTAGTTTTTCATGCACTCATTTCTGTATGTGTGTGTGTGTATACCCACACACACTTAAGTTCTGTGTTTTTTAATATGTATAATCATCTGATCACCATTGCAGTCAAGATACAACACAATTCCATCACAAGTACCATTTGTGTTATCTAATCCTCTCCTCCCAGCTGCGCCCAAGTAGAAGTAGAAAACCACTATCCCTTTTGCTACAATTTTGTCATTTCAAAAATGTTATAAAAATGGAATTATATAGTATGTAACTTTTTCAGATTTTGCATCTTACTTGGACTTGGTGGAAAATTTATACTTAATATAATTGTGGATTTGATTTTAAACCCATCATACTGGTATTTATTTTATTTTTTTCCCATCAGTTATTTGTTCCTTTTCTCTTCTTTTTCTGTCTTTATTTGAACAGTTGTATAATTTTTAGAATTTTATTTTTGTCTTCTTTTGACTTACTAGCTATATCTCTGTTTTAATTTTTGGTGGTTGCTTTAGATGTTACAACATGCACCTTTAACTTATCACAGTCTTTCCTCCAATAATATTGTACTAACTTACACCAGTACACTTCTATTTTACCTCCTGTTCTTCCAGTAATGGTCGTCATACTCTACTTCCATGTATGTTATAATCTTTACAATATACTTTGGCTATTTTTGCTATATACAATCATTTATCCTTTAAAGAAAAATGAGAAAAATATCTTTTTATGCTTATCCATAATTTACCTCTTTTGGTCTTCAATCTTTTGTGTAGATCCAGGTTTCCATATGGTATCATTTCCTGTCAAGTGAATAATTTGCATTAATATTATTTATAGGGCAAATTGACTTATGAAAAATACTCTTGCTTTTTCTTTTCTTGGAAAACTTTATTTTGCCTTCATTTTTGTAGGGTATTTTTACTGGATTTAGAATTATGGTTTGACAGTTTTTATTTCTTTCAGCACTTTAAAACTGTCATTACATTGTTCATATTGTTACTGATAAGAAAACTGTTATATTTCTTATCTCTTTCTATTTAATGTGTCTTTTTTTTCCTCTGGATGCTTTTAAAGATTTCATCATTATCACCAGTTTTCAGTAAATTGACTATATGATTTGGGGTGTGTGTGTGTGTGTGTGTGTGTGTGTGTATGCATGATTACCCTCTTGAGGCTTACTGAACTTCTTATATTTGGAGGTTTATAGGTTTCACTGAACTTCAAAATCACCCCTCCCTCCCATTCTTTTCCTCCTGAGATTCCAATTACATGTATATTAGATTGCTTGATATTATTGCAAAAGCTGCTTCTTTTTTCAGCTTCTGGGTGCTTTAGTTTTGATATATTTGATTGTAAGTCTTACATTATCTTAGTTTTTTTCATCTGCAGTATTTACTACCATCCAATAAAATTTTCATCTCATAGATAATATTTTTTATCTCTAGAAGTTCCATTAGGTTCTTTTTTAATATTTTTAATCCTGTCCTTATTATATTTAGGTTTTGTTTAAAATCCTGGGGCATACTGAGCATCTTTATAATAGCTGTTAGTGTTTTTGCTTGCTAGTTCTATCATTTATGTTAATCTACATCACTTTGTACCAACTATTTTTTGTTTTATTTTTAATTGACAGATAATAATTATATATATTTGTGGGATTCAATGGATATTTTTATATATGTTTACATTGTAGAAGGATTAAATCAAGCTAATTAACAAATTCATCACCTCACAGACTTATATTTTTGTGATGAAACATTAAAAACCTACTCTTTCAGCAATTTTGAAAAATACATTGCATTTTTATTACAGTCACCATTCTGTGCAACTGTTCACTGAAGATTATTCCTCCTGTCTAACCAAAACTGTGTACCGTTTGATCAACATCTCCCTTTTCCCCATCCACCCTCCTCCTCCAGCCTCTGGTAATCACTGTTCTACTCTACTTCTACAAGTTCAACTGTTTTAGATTCTGCACATAAGTGGAATCTTAGGGCATTTGTCCTTCTGGGCCTGGCTTATTTCACTTATCATAATGTCCTCCAGGTTCTTAACATTGTCACAAATGACAGAATTTCCTTCTATTTTAAGGCTGAATAGTATTCCATTGTGTATATATACCACATTTTCTTTACCTATTTATATAACGATAAATACATAGGTTGGCTCCATATCTTAGCTACTCATAATAATGCTGCATGGGAGTGCAGATACAAAACTATTTATTCACCTGCAGAGGAATGAAATTGGATCCTTGCTTCATATCATCTAAAAAAATTCAACTTGGCTGGGCATGACATCTCATACCTGTAATCCCAGCACTTTGGGAGTCTGAGGTAAGTGGATTGCTTGAGCTCAGGAGCTCGAGACCAGCCTGGGCAACAGAGTGAAACCACTTCTCTACAAAAAATACAAAAATTAGCTGGACACGGGGCTTGCATCTGTAATCCCAGCTACTTGGGAGGCTGAGGTGGCAGGACTGCTTGACCCCAGGAGGTAGAGGTTGCAGTGAGCTGAGACCACATCACTGCACTCCAGCCAGGGTGACAGAGTGAGACTCCATCACAAAAAACAAGCAAACAAACAAACTATTGGGAAGTAAATTTGGCAAAGAAAATATGATTCAATTTTTAAAGAAAAGAAGTAAAAAACAACTCAAAATGGTTTAAAGACTTAAATGTAAGACCCCAAACTGTAAAACGGCTAAGAGAAAATAGAGGGAGAATGCTTCATGACATCGTCTAGGTAAAGGTTTTTGGATATGACCCCAAAACACAGGTAAGAAAAGCAAAAATAAGCATATGGGATAGAATCAAACTAAAAAGCTTCCATACAGCAAAGGAAACAAGAGAATGAGGAGACAACCCACAGATTAGAAGAAAATATTTGCAAACAATACATCTGATAAAGGCCTAATGTAAAAAAAATATAAGGAACTTTATCCACTATTTTTACTCCTGTTTATGGGTCACATTTTCCTGCTCATTCATATATTTAATAATCTTTTATTTGATGCTAGTCATTGTGAAGGTTTTATTTTTAAATGTCTTGATTTTATTGCCTTTTCTTTAGGATGGAGTTTTGCTCTTGTTGCCCAGGCTGGATTTGCGATTGTGGCTCATTGCAACCTCCACCTCCCAGGTTCAAGCGATTCTCCTGCCTCAGCTTCCCAAGTAACTGTGATTACAGGTGCCTGCCATCATGCCTGGCTAATTTTTAAAAAATATTTTTAGTAGAGATGGGGTTTCACCATGTTGGCCAGCCTGGTCTCAAACTCCTGGCCTCAAGTGATACACCCATTTTGGCCTCCCAAAGTGCTGGGATTACAAGCGTGAGCCACCACGCCCAGCCTATTACCTTCTTACTCAACTTTGAAAGTTCTTTATTATTCTAGACACATAAGTCCTTTATTAAATATTTATATTGCGATATGTTTTTTTCCATTTGTGGCTTGTCTTTTCATTTTCATTAACAGTGTCTTTGGAGAACAAAAGTTCTTCGTTTGGATGAAGCCAAAGTCATCAGAATATTTCTTTAAGGACTGTGCGTTGGTGTCATATTTAAGAAATCTGAGGATGGGTGGAGTGACTCATGCCTGTCATCCCAGCATTTTGGGAGGCAGGAGGATTGCTTGAGTCCAGGAGTTCAAGATAATCCTGGGCAACCGAGCAAGACCCTCTCTCCACAAAATATTAAAAAATTATCTAGGTATAGTGGTTCGTGCCTGTAGTCCCTGCTATTTGGGAGGCTGAGGTGAGAGGAGTTGCTTAAGCACAGGAGTTCAAATCTGTAGTTAGCTATGATTGCACTATTATACTCCAACTGATAGAGACCTGGTATCTAAAAAAAAAACAAAAAAACCCAAACCAAAAAAGAAATAAAAATAAATCTGAGGCCAGGTACAGCAGTACACTCCTATAATTCCAGCACCTTTGGAGGCAGAGTCAAGAGGACTGCTTGAGGCCATTAGCTTGAAACCAGTCTGGACAACATAGTGAGATTCCATCTCTAAAAAAAAAAAAAAATTAAAAAATTTAGCTGGATGTGGCAGTGTGCACCTGTAGTCCAGTTACTTGGGAGGCTGAGGCAAAGGATCTCTTGAGCCCAGGAGTTCAAGGCCCCTTGATGGTGCCACTGCCCTCCATCTTGGGTGATGAATGAGACACTTTCTCCAATAAATCAACAAATAAATAACAAATAAAATATAACATTCATATAATGTATACTGGAATTTTTAGAAGAAATGAACTACACATATTTATGTTACCTCAAAAGTAAACTTGAGAAAAAAGTAAACTGGAGAATATGAGGTAGTTATGTAAATTTAATTGTCCAGAAAACAACATAAACATTGCTTATTTATATCTATACACATGTATATGTAGCATTCATATATTAACTAGAATGATATCCACCAACTTCGTGTCACGATGTGAATCTCCTGGGAATGGAGGAGAAGAGTGGGGATCAAAGGATATGACAACATTATCTGTAATATTTTTTCTTCTTTATAGTAAAAAAGACATTAAGGAAATAGTGCAAAGAAAAAACGACTGCCAATTCAGGGTGATGGGCCCAAGAACATGAAAAAACTGTCAAAAATAAATTAGACCAAATGTCCATGCTGTCAAGTTGAATGAGTCCCCCTGAGAGGAAATCAAGGTGAAGCTCAGACTGCCCTGAAATTCAGCAATATCCATTGGCTAAAGTACGTAGACTATGTCATTGTACAAGCTGCCGCTGGAATGAAAGTGTCACGACTTCCTCCCTACATTCCCTCATTAAATACTGCTTTCACTAAATTTTAAATTCTTATTTGTAGAAACATTTCCAAAAGGTCTAGTGCATTACATTGGAATGTTGTTTGTTAACTATCTAATCTAATACACATTTATCTTGATTGTCTAGGTTCAGGAAAAGGTGTTAAGGAAAGCAAGTGGAAAATAAAATCAGTGGTCAGCAGCACCTCAGAGGATGTTGGGAGAAACCATATAGGTAAATTCGCAGTTGCAAAAACAAGGGAAGACAATGATCTGGATTGGAGAGAACTGACAGGTGTCTGGGGAGGTGATTAAAAAAAGGGGGGAATTTGAAAGAAAAGTGAAGGGAGCTTTAAGCCAGAGTAGGGTGAAACGGAGGATAGAATTGGCTGAAGGCGACAAAGGCAGAAGTAACATCTCCTACAGCAAAGATAAGGGATCTGAAAATCCGTGACTGGCTATGTGTGGTCTACTGTCCTTGGTAAGGGTGCTTGGCAGAATCTACTTTTCTTTTTTGATGTCCTTGCCTGCCACTTACCAAGTAATTCTGCTAAAAAGCCAACCAATTAGCCAGCCAACCAACCAACCCACTCAAACAACAGTAATGCAACTGCTCACTGCCAACGAATGAGATGCTGCATTTCCAAGCGGTGGCAAGCCCTCACAGTGAGTCTTGGAGGATCCACCAGAACCCGCAGCCGATGGCAAGGGATTGTGGGAGGCAGTTCATTCCTGAAACAGTCGTCTCCGGGCCTTGCACGGAGGGCGCTCTGGGAGCTCCCGGCGCGTGTGGGGACCTGGACTCGAAGAGGGAGGTAGAGGTTGGAGGGGTGAGCTGGGAACAGGCTCCAGAAAGTGGAATTCCTGGTCGCAGATGGGGCGTGGAGAGCGTCTCTCTGAACTGGGGTTGGGGGCCAGAGCACAGGGCTCTGGGATGGGGCCCTCCGGGTAGGGGCCGAATATACTTCTAGCGGAGGGGTAGAGCCCAGCGGCTGAGCCGGCTGGGGAGTCCATCCAGAGCTCCTGGAACTCGGAGTCCGCGTCCTCCTCGTACACCTCCTCCTGGGCGGCGACCTCAGGGACAGATGCGCAGAATTCCTGCTAGACGACGACGTCCTCCCTGAGAGCGCCCAGGAAAACGTCCACTTCCTGCGCTCCTGAGTCGCCCTGCGCTCCTGAGCGTTCGTAGACGAAGCTCAGGAGGACCTCGGGGGATCAGGAAGAGGGTGTGTCCACCGAGAGACACTCGCATGATCGACGTGGGCGCGGGCTTCAGCATCAAGTCGACGTGGTCCTGGGAAACCTTCAGTGCGCAGCCCGCGGCCAGAACCACCACGAAGGTGAGCGCGTCCGCGGCCGGGGCCCCCGCCGGGTCTTCCAGGGTGCACGCCACGAGGGGTTGGGGGGCCGCGGGCTCCTCCAATCAGCGGCGCTTGGCAGGGTCGGGTCCTCCTAACTGTGGTCCCCACCAGGGAGCAGGGCAGGCGCTGGGGCTGCGAGGCCGGCTGCCCATCACTTCGACAGCGCCACGGACGGCGCTCCTGGGCCTGGCAGGGGATGTGGGGAGCGCGGGCGGTGAAGTCCTCTTTGAGGTAACAGGTGTCCGTGGTAGGCGAGGCGGGTTGGGGCTGATGGGGCACAGGACCGCCAGACGCAGGGCGAGTTCTCGGAGCTCCAGGGGCACCTCCCGGAGACTGCAGTCCGGGCTGCCGGGGGATCGTCGCCGGTCGGGCGGCTGGGCCTCGCGCGATGGAATCTTGGGCCTTCCCGGCGCAGACCCGGTTGCACGTACGATGACTAAGAACGTGGAACGTCAGGTGACTTGGGCGCGCCAAGATTTATCTATATAGGCCCCGCCTCCCAACAATCCTCTGCGGCAGGTGTGGCCTAGAGATGATTGGATCAATGTAGAGCAAGAGCGAGGTGGGTGGGTCTCTGTCCCTGCCTGGGAACATTCCTTGGATGTACTCTTGGGACCCAATGGCGAACATTGCTTTTACTCTTGGTTAAGAAAACAAAAGCCAAAACACAATTTTAAAAACTGCTTGCTTACTTTTATAAGTAGCTTATGTCTAAATGTCTCTTCTAAGATTTTCCAGGAATATATGAAAAAGAGCTTTAACTCAAACTCATCGCTCTTTCCTTACCCAGCCTACGTGTTTCTAAAAAGTTCTTTCCTTTCTGTTAGGAATTAGAAAGGAAAATTTTGCTCTGATAAGTGAATTTTAATTTTTGTGGGTACATAATAGGTACATATGTTTATGGGTTATATGAGATACTTTGATCCGGGCATGCAATATGTAGTGGTAACATCATGGTAAATAGGATATCCATCGTCTCAAACATTTATGCTTTGTATTACAAGCAATCCAATTATACTCTTACAGTTATTTAAAGATGTACAATTCAAGTAGGATTGACTATGGTCACCCGGTTGTGCTATTAAATACTCGGTTTTATTTATTCATTCTTTTTTTTTTTTGTACCTATTAACCATTTCCATTTGTCCCCACCCTCACTACCCTTCCCAGCTTCTGGTAAACATCCTTCTACTCTCTATCTCTGTACATTCAATTGTTTTAATTTTTAGCTGCCATAAATAAGTGAGAATATGAGAAGTTTGTTTTTCTGTGCCTGACTTATTTCACTTAAGGTTATGACCTCCAGTTCCATCCATGTTGTTGCTAATGACAGAATCTCATTCTTCTTTTATGGCTGAATAGTACTCCATTGTGTATATGTACCACATTTCTTTTTTTTTTTTTTGAGACAGAGTCTTGCTCAGTTGCTGGAGTGCAGCAATCTGGGCTCACTGCAACCTCCGTCTCCTGGGTTCAAGCAATTCTCCTGCCTCAGCCTCCCGAGTAGCTGGAACTATAGGTGCGCACCACCACACCTAGCTAATTTTTGTGTTTTTAGTAGAGACGGGGTTTCACCATGTTGGCCAGGATGGTCTCGATCTCTTGACCTAGTGATCTGCCCGCCTCGGCCTCCCAAAGTGCTGGGACCACAGGCGTGAGCCACCGCACCTGGCCACATTTTCTTTATCCATTCATCTGTTGATGAACCCTTAGGTTGCTTCCAAATCTTGGCTATTGTGAATAACACTCCAGTAAACATGGGAATACAGAGACCTCTTCAATATCCTGCTTTTCTTTCTTTTGATTATATACCTGGCAGTGAGATTGCTGGATCATATGATAACTCTCTTTTTAGATTTTTGCAGAACCTCCGAACTGTTCTCCATGGTGGTTTTTACTAGTTTACATTCTCACCAGCAATGTATGAGGGTTCCCTCTTCTCCACATCCTTGCCAGCATTTGTTATTTCCTGCCTTTTGGAATAAAAGCCATTTTACCTAGGGTAAGATGATATCTCATTGTAGTTTTGATTTGCATTGGTCTCATGATCAGTGATGTTGAGCACCTTTTCATATATACCTGTTTGCCATTTGTATGTCTTCTTTTGAGAAATATTTATTCTGTTCTTTTGCCCATTTTAACATTGTATTATTAGATTTTTTCCTATAGAGTTGTTTGAGCTTCTTATGTATTCTAGTTATTAATCTCTTGTCAGATAGTAGTTTGCAGATATTTGCTTTCATCCTGTGTGTTTTCTCTTCAGTTTGTTGATGTTTCCTTTGCTATGCAGAAGCCTTTTAACTTGATGTGATCCCATTTGTACACTCTTGCTTTGGTTACCTGTGCTTGTGGACTATTACTCAAGAAAATTTTTACCCAAATGAAAGCCTGGAGAGTTTCCCCAATGTTTTGTCATAGCAGTTTTATACTTTGAGGTCTTTTTTTTTTTGAGACGGAGTTTTGCCCTTGTTGCTCAGGCTCAAGTGCAATTGTGCGATCTCAACTCACTGCCACCTCTACCTCACTGATTCAAGCGATTCTCCTGGCTCAGTCTCTCTAGTAGCTGGGATTACAGATGCCCCCCATCATGCCTGGCTAATTTGTTTTTGTATTTGTAGGAGAGATGGGTTTCACCATGTTGGCCAGGCTGCTCCCAAACTCTTGACCTCAGGTGATCCACCTGCCTTGGCCTCCCATATCCTCTGCTGAGATTACAAGCATGAGCCACTGCACCCAACCATATTTTAAGATCTTAAATTTAAATCTTGAATTTATTTTTGTTTGATTTTTGTATATGGTGAGAGATAGGGGTCTATTTTCAATCTTATGCATATGGATATCCAGTTTTCCCACCCCCAATTATTGAAAATCAGGATACTGAAGAGATAACTGCTCCCTCATGTTTATTGGAGTATTTTTCACAATAGTCAAGATTTGGAAGCAATCTAAGCATTCGTCAACAGAGGAACAGATAGAGAAAATTTGGTACATATACACAATGGAGTACTATTCAGCTGTACGTAAAAAAGAAAGATCTTATCAGCAATGAGTGGAGATATATAATGTGTTGGCCAGGCGTGGTGTCTCACACCTGCAATCCTAGCACTTTGGGGTGGCTGAGGTAGGCAGATTCCTTGAACAATTTAAAAAAAGTTATTATTGAAAAAAGAGATATAATATGTTTTTCTGCCATATTTTTCTGCTGTTCTATTTCATCTATTGTATTTTTTCTTTTTCTTGAGATGCAGTTTTGCTCTTTCACTCAGCCTGCAGTGCAGCGGTACAATGGGTGTGATCTTGGCTCACTGCAACCTCTGGCTCCTGGGTTCAAGCGATTCTCATGCCTCAGCTGTCTGAGTAGCTGGGATTATAGGTGTGTGCCATTATGCCTGGCTAATTTTTGTATTTTTAGTAGAGACGGGGTTTCACCGTGGTGGCCAGGCTGGTCTTGAACTCCTGACCTCAAGTGATTTGCTCGCTTTGGCCTCCCAAAGTGCTGGGATTACAGGTGTGAGTAACTGCTCCCAGCCCCCATGTATGTCCTTAGCAGCTTTGTTGAAAGTGAGTTCACTGTAGATGTATGGATTTGTTTCTGGGTTCTCTATTCTGTTCTATTGGTCTATGTGTCTGTTTTTATGCCAATACATGCTGTTTTTGTTACTATAGCTATGCAGTAGAATTTGAAATCAGGTAATCTGATTCTTCCAGTTTTGTTCTTTTTGCTCAGGTTAGCTTTGGCTTTCTGGGTCTTTGTGGCTTTCTGGGTCTTTTTTGATGTTAATTCGTATAAATTTTAGGATTAAAAAATTTCTGTGAAAAATGCCATTGGCATTTTCATAGGCATTGCTTTGAATCTGTAGATTCTTTGGACATTTTTAACAACATTGAGTCTTCCAATCCATAAACATGGAGTATCTTTCTATTTTTTTGTGTCCTTTTCAATTTCTTTCATCAGTGTTTTATAGTTTTCATTGTAGACATGGTTCACTTCTTTGGTTCAGTTAATTCCTAGGTTTTAATTTTATTTGTGGCTATTAGAAATGGGATTACTTTTTTGATTTCTTTTTTAGATTGTTCATTGTTGGCATATAGAAATGCTACTAATTTTTGTATGTTGATTTTGTATTCTGCAACTTACTGAATTTGTTTACTGGTAGTAATGGTTCTTGTGTGGGGTCTTTAGGATTTTCCAAAGATAAGATCATATAATCTGCAAACAAGAATAATTTGACTTCTTCTTTTCCAGTGTGGATGCCCTTTATTTCTTTGTCTTGTCTGATTGCTCTAGCTAGGACTTCCAGTACTATATTGGGTAACAGTCATGGATGTGGGCATCTTCATCTTGTTTCAGATCTTAGTGAAGAGGCTTTTCCCCATTTAGTATGAGAATAGCTGTTGGCCTGTCATATATGACTTTCATTGTGTTGAGGTATGTTCCTTCAATACCCATTGTTTGAGGAATTTTTAATTATGAAGGAATGTTGACTTTTATTATGCTTTTATAGCATGAACTGAAATGATCTATGGTTTTTATCTTTCATCCTGTTTGTATGATGTATAACATTGATTGATTTGCATATGTTGAAACTTTCATCCCTGGGAAAAATCCTAGTCAAACATGATGAATGATGTTTTAAAGGTATTGTTGAATTTGGTTTGCTAGTACTTTGTTTAGGATTTTTTGCATCAATATTCTTCAGACATATTGGCCTGTAGTTTTGTTTTTTTGAAGTGTCTTTGGCTTTGGTGTCAGGGTAATACTGGCCTCACAGAATGCATTTGGCAGCATTCTCTCCTTTTGTATTTTTTGGAATAGTTTGAGTAGTGTTGGTATTAGTTCTTCCTCAAATGTTTGCTAAATTCAGCTGTGAGGCCATTGGCTCTCAGACTTTTTTTTTAAACTGGGAGACTGTTTATTATGGCTTCCATGTTGCTACTTCCATTGGTCTGTTCAGGTTTTTGATTTCTTCATGGTTCAATCTTAGTAGGTTCTATGTATCTAGGAATTTATAATTTCCTCTGGATTTTCCAGTTTATTGATCTGTAGTTGCTCATGGTAGCCTCACTATTGATCCTTTGAATTTCTACGCTATCAGTTGTAATGTCTCCCTTTTCATCATTGATTTTATTTATTTGGGTCTTCTTTTTTTTTTAGTTAGTCTGGCTAAAGGTTTATTAATTTCTTTTATCCTTTAAAAAAGCCAGCTTTTCATTTTGTTGCTCTTTTGTATTTTTGTTTTCATTTCAGTGTCATTTGTTTGTGTTTTTATCTTTATTTCCTTTCTCCTATGAATTTTCAGTTTGGTTTGTTCTTGCTTTTATAGTTCTTTAACATGCACTTGCTGGGTGCAGTGGCTCACGCCTGTAATCCCAGTATATTGGGAGGCCAAGGTGTACGGATCACCTGAGGTCAGGAATTTG